GACTGCTAGGAGGTCTCCACGCAGCCTTCTCTTCTCCAGGCTAAACAGCCCCAACTTTCTCAGTTTGTCTTCTTACAGGGGATGCTCCAGCCCCTGATCATCCTCGTCGGCCTCCTCTTTTTATGTCCTTTTTATGTTGAGGACACCAGAACTGCACACAATACTCCAAGTGAGGTCTCGTGATAGAAGAGCTCTCGTGAGCTCTTCCCTCGTTTTTTCTGTTGTTTCTAGGAGAGGAATCCTCCATCACACTGAAGACATCTGTCCACTAACACTATGTTCTGACCTCTCACTAACAGGCATACGTGAGAACAAACTGCACAAGGGCTTCTGGAAATGAAAAGCCTAGACTGAACTGTACAGATAAGAAACAAACAACACAAACATGCCCTGCTCACATCTTGGGTAACATATGCTCTTAGGAGACGTGTCATGATATTTTTGTTACAACTTTTACAGAAAGTGGTCTTAGTTAGGGAAAAGCAGCTTTCGTGTTCCTCCAGAAATAGAAGTATTCTTTTGTCACAGTAACCAACAGTGTCAGTGCTGCTGATATTAGTGCCTTGCTGAGTAATAATAGAAAGATCAGTGAAGACCCCTCAGTGTCCACGCTACTAAACAAAGATGTCATCCAGTTAACAGTACTAAAAGCGTCAGGAGCTGTGGTATACAGTTGCTGAGAGCAAGTTTCTTTCTTGTCTCTGGAAAACTTTAAGCTGTTTTCTAGACAAGCCACTAATTCATTTCCCTCTCACAGACCCCTTCCTCCTATATGAAGGAATTCTATTTCAACACTTTGGTGACTTTTTGACTTTTCTTCTCTTCATACCTTCCCCCCGCCCTCTCTTTTTTCACCATAGTAGAAGATCATTTCTAAAGACAGACCAAAAGAGTTGATCTTACCTAGGTCTCACTTAGGTCTAAGGCTACCTTCAGCCTCATTTACCTCAACTCCCAAATCCTGGAAAGGACTGGCAGGTAGAACATTTGCTTGACTTGGAGCTCTTAAAGCAACAGAAGCAGTTACTGTATCTAGAGAGAGGGCTTCAAAAGCAAAGAGGCAGATTTCATTTAAGGCTACATTCTGTCATTTATAAACTTAACTCTACTGCAACAGACACAGTACTAAGTGCTTTCCCCCTCTCTCCCCTCTTCCTTTAAGGTGGATATTGTAAGAAAACGACAGTAGGATAATATGTTTGTTACAGAAAGTACTAATAAGCTCAAACCAACATATAAGGAAGCTGGATGTGAGCTTATCCCACTGTCACTACCTGCTACTAAAACCAGTACGCACCAAAGGCTTCAATACAGAAGCAAGAGTACAGAACTGCATACATCACCCTTAACAATTACTCAGAAAGCTCATAAGCTCACAACACATGAAACATTACCACACCAGCAGTGAGATATGTTTTGAAATACCTGTATAAAACACTGATGCTCATGAAGGAACAGCAAGCAAGCTTTTGTAACCGCATTTTCACAATGCTGTCCTAACAGCAGGAAATGAAGCAGAGACCCAAACTAAAATAACTGTTACCCCATGTTGCCCATTTAAGACTTACGAGCTGCAAAACCCATGCTAATCTACAAAAGCACTGACAAAAATGTCTATTTTTACATATAATTTCATTTAAGTGTTCTGATTTCAGTTGCTTGGCAATTTCAAGATAACTAAAAGCACATCTGCACAGTGCTAGATCATCCAGCAGCCGAAACCTGATTTGTACCAGAAAAGGACATACAGTGGCATTCAGTAGAACTACCCCAAAAATAGTAAAGTTTCTGCCACCTCCAAGTCAGCAGCAGGAAGAAAGATATTTCATGTGAAAGGGCTTGCTAATAGAAACATATCCTATTAACATCTCTGGAGCAAACAGGAAGCAACACAGTGAAATTGTACCAAGTTAATGCTTCCCCTTATCTGGACATGTCATTTCTGATCTGCCATTAGCAGGATTACAGTGAGAATTACTATTGCATCAAGACAATCTTAAGAATTTCCAGAAAGACGGCAAATAGACTTCAACAGCAATGCTCCACAGGAGACTTAATGCCCAGCTTACTAAGTTTGCAAGCTGATCTTCAAAAACATCAACACAAAAGCCAATTTTTATATTGCTATTATAACTTGCATAATATGCAGGTAAAAAAGAAAAAACACCTAACAAACAAAAAAACACAAGCAAAACTGTATCCACCCCCTCTACTTGCTCTGAATTATTACTGATCCCATGTCCAATGCCAAAAAACAAAGAAGAAAACAAATCCATATTTTTTTCAAGTGCTAGGAATAAAAGCCTACAGGTTGAGTTAAGCCAAAGCATACAAACTGACTACAGAACAAAAGAAATAGTTATACCAATGCAGCAAATGCTATGGCATGCATAGAACAAAGCAAGCCAATTGCCAGGTATCTTCAGGAAGTTACGACATTTTAAACCAGTATGAATTGTTCAAACAAGTGAGACTTCAGGAAAGTTAACTCAGAACATAACAAAGAAAAGTAAAACTGATACTACTGCTGCTGTGGAACTCACTACCAAGTCTGATAAGAAGCAGTCGGCAGTGAATACGTTTTAGAAAAGTATCAAATTTTTTTTCTGCCACAACATCCAAGACATATAATATGATTTTGTTTTTCTAAAAGTATCCCTAGATCACCCATGGTATCAGAGAAATTGATCCATTTTCCAAATTAACACACTTTAGTGGATACATAATTTCATCTGAGAGCAAGTATTTCATTAAAGCATACTGTATGTAGAACACAACTGACTGAAGTTGCTGAAAGGTGTTTTTAAGGAAACATATTTAATTCTCCAACAGCAAGCCCACATGAAGGTAGGAAAACATCTATACTTGAGCTGTGACAGTCAGGTTATTAAAAACTAACTGTAGCAGAACAACCTTTACATCTTTCTATAGCTTATGAAGCCACTCTGCTTATTACTACCCACTGAAAAAAAGCAAAAGCATAAGTAATTTTCCTTACTATAGAGCTAGGTTAGGATAAAACCTGAAGCATTTTAAAAGCATTGAAGATGCTTCAATTCAAATTCAAGCCACAAATAAAATAAAGCCCACCTGGAATTCAAGAACTAATGCTTCTTAAGAACACAAAGCTCCACATAACCTTAACAGAGACGACATTTTTCACTTTTAGACTATGGTGCTGTGCTGTCCATTATGAAACAGCACCTGAAGGGGGAGAAATACTTAACATAGTAATCAGCGGGGTGTAAGCATATGGAAAGGTTAGTTTCACGCAACATTAAACGGACACACACACAGGGTGGGACCTATCTAGTATAATTAAACTTCAAAAAGAAAAAGTACAAAAAAAACCCCCCAAACATTAAGAATTCACTGCCCATCTTGATCTGTATGGCTTATTAGCAACACTGTAACTTTGTCTTCTTATTACACACTGAATTTTGCCAGATGCATTTCAGCTTCTCAGGTCAACAAAAAGGCTCCAGTGATATTTTTTTCTGATAGTTGCGCATGAGTATAGTTGACTCTAATACCACAGTGCCAGCACTGACCAACACACCAGAAGTCGCTAACTATCCACATCACACAGAATATGACACACTTAAATGCATACTCAGTACTACAAAACCATCTATGCTACTAAACTGGACTTTGATCTTTTTCTCAAGCTGAAGAGACAAATTCAGTGTTACTAGCATATTCACAATATGAAAGCCATTCAAAGGACAACTTTGATACTTCCAAGTACCAGTTAAGAATCTATTCTAGAAACATTTTCAACCAACACCTTCAATATTTGCATACATAAGCCTAAACAAGTATTTCAAAACTCTCAGCCTTCCATTTAGAAAGAATGTTTCACACATGCAAATTTGCACCATGACATCACCACACATTCAACCTCAACAAAATGATTCTTGGTCTTTCACAAGAACAAGACAGCTAATACCACCCTTCACACAGCATTTTAGTCTACTATGCCCATACAGAAATAATACTCTACAGACAGTTTACACTATACACATAACTGAAGGATAGCCCCGACTTAGAAAACAAAAACAAAAAAAGAGACAAATACCACCAGAAAAGTTTGGCAGGGATTTGAAAGTAATACCCTAGTATCATTTTAGGCACTAGGCAGCAACAATTTCCAGTTTAGCCTTACTTTTCCGTTTGAGAAAACACAGTAATAGGAACAGGAAAAAATACTGCAAAACCGCAAGTCAGTTATTTCTTCTACCTTGTAAATTAAAACACTTAGTCCAAAATGTGCGTATGAAAAAGCATGAGGCTTTGTACAAACTGTTAGTTTCACTCTCCATTTGTCACTTGCCTTATAAAGGCACCATGTAACAAAAATAACTCACTGCACATACATTTATGTGTGTACACAGGTACATACTTACCAGGTGCTACACTTACTTCAGCTTACAGCAGTAGAAAAAGCGGCACCATACAGACACTCCTAGAGCAGAATGTGTCATACCAGAGTTGAGTTGGATGACTAAGCGTACACAATAGAGCTGATATTACCCAAAAATTACTGGATTTGGTCATTTACTCAACATTTGGATCAGCACTAAAATATCGAAGGCTTCTACTTGTAGTATTAGCGATTTTACTGAAACACTGCAGCTCTACAAGTAAAGATCTGAACTATCATCCCACTAAAAAATCAGCCATTTGAAAAATAACTCAAAAAAACATCTTAAGTTTCATATTTATTATGTACTGCAGTACATAAAGAAACAGGTAAATCCTACCCCAACCAAGAATACTTTTGCAGGTCATACTTTGAGGCTAGTTATGCCATTTAAAAATACATACAAAATGAATCATAACACAAACCAGGAGGAAGCATATACAGTCCAGTGCAACCAAAACTTCATTTAAGCACTACATAATTTCTGAGAGGGTACAGAAAGAGACAAGCTATTACTGACTAACCTTAAGAATCACATTAATGTATGGTCTTGGATGACTTCAAAGAAATCCGTTACCATTAGGATTACTGTTTACTATTACTCCTCTGCAACTCGGCAGACAGATACCAGCACAGGCATACCACCAGAGCTGGGTGGAAGAGAAGACACATTTTCACACCTATTCAACTTGTCTTGCCTTCCTTGAGATGACAGCTAATGAAAGGAAAAAGAAGCTATGATGAGATCCAGGAAACAAGAAAGAATGGACACAGATCTCACCATACCCTGTTTACATTTATCTGCAATCATTTATAGTAAAGGTTATGACCCAAGCCAGACAAAACCACAATATAATAGTTTCATACTAAGCATCCATCACACTTATCCAACTCACTGTACCTAAACCAAAAGTTTTATGATTAAAGAGAGGCTTAAGTGCTGATTTTGTTATTCTTTACTACTGTGTGTAAAATCTGACACATCAGTAATTTTATGGATGAACTGAGACAGTCTATATGTACATTAATAGCGGCTGTTACAGCATTCTTCAGATTGCTGCTATCAACTAACACCTTTCACAAGACAGGACAAAGGGCAGGCTTTAACAAATGTTGTGAAATACTTTATTTTTAAGAATTCTGTTTGTCTCTCACTACTAAGAGGAAATGAATGTAACATTTCTTCTTTTTACATGAAATATGTTAACTGAAAATATACTGGAAAAAGGGCAAAAGAAAGTATTGCTCTTCTCCCAGATCTGGAAAAGAAAAGCTAACAGAACAGACACTGACCTTTGACCATGTGGGCTCTACCTGTAAATTTTAAGAGTTCTTTCATGTAAAGCTCTCTGAAAACCAAACTTGTCCATTGTGGACCTGCTACAGAACATGAGCCTATGTACAATTACTACTCAATTCTGTAACACCAGCACTAAACAGGCGCCTATCACTACATCAGCAGGATGGGTTGGCATGGAAGAGGGGGAAAGGAAACCTACTGCACAATATCAAGCTGAAAAAAATCCTAAAAAGTACTTATAAAAAAATCATAAAAGCATTATAAATAGCTATCTTTTAAGCTAATTTATTTATCTAATATTTACTGTATTCATCAGCTATAAAGACATCAATAGACTATTAACAGCATCTTCAAATTAGTTATCACTGAAACCTTCAAAGACAGTTTTACACATATTTTACTGAACATAGTGCCTTGCTTTCAAGTTTTTCCATTACCTTCCAGTGTGACATCCTCAGGCCATTCCCTATTTTTGGTGAAAGGGATTCTCTACCAAACTCCCAAATATAGTTATTCTCAAGCCACCTAAGCAAATGCCTTTCCTCTTGTTTTCTCCTTGCTAAAGCAAGGGAATGAACAGCCAATATCACATTACAAGTCGTGTTTGAACAAGGGGAAAACACACCAACCACACACGCTAGTACTGCAATAGTATCAAGCCATAAAAGTAGCCTCCTTTCACCATATCCACCTATATTTAAAAAACAAACCAAGATAAGACCCAAGCTATTCTTCCCAACAGCCAACACAAACAACGGATTAGACCTCAAATCTGACCTAAAGACAAGACTCTGGACAGAACATAACTAAGGCCTTGCTACCTTTGAGGGCCTTCTAACTCTAAGGCAGAAGCCAAGCCACATCAGCAGCATCGTCATATCGCAGTCAACACGCCGAAGAGGCAGTGGCAGCTCTTTCACCTGTGAGTTTACTCGGTTTTTATGCCTTTGCTACACAGCAAAAGCAGCATCTGCGGCCCAGCACACATCACAGCCCCTGCTAAGCAGACTCCCGCACAGGATCTCCGGGCAGACACCCTTTCCGACGGGCTTCAAAACACAAAGACCAAAGTTTTCCCTGCTCGCTGCGTGGGAGCACGGCAGCAAAACAAGCGCCAGGATCAACACCAGCACCCACACCAGCACACTCCCATCACCACACCCCTGCCCCGGCCGACTCCGCGGGCACCCCCGGCCCACGCCAGCTCACTCTCCCCGCGGCAGCCCGTCTCCCCCCTACCCCATCTGTCCAGGGGGGGTGCGGCTCACCCCACAGCCGGTTGGAGCGAGGGGGACAGCGCGGGGGTATCACCCCCACCGACAAACACTCTGTCCCTGATGGGACACCCCGGGCAGCAGGGCAGCCCTGCCCACTCCCCAGATTCACCCCCCCGCACCTCTCCCGCTGCTTTCCCACCCTTGTCCCGGGGCCTGCCCCCTCACCGTGCTGCGCTGGGGGCTCGGCTCCGGCGGCGGCTGCATGCCCGCTCGCCCGCCCGGCCCTTCGGCTCTGCCCCGGGCCTCTGGGACGGCGAACGTAGGGGAAGGCTGCGGGACGGAGAGGGGGGGAGTGGTGGACGGCACTCGAGGAGGTGCCCCGCGAGGCCCCCCCCCGCTCCTCCTGAGCGATAAGCCGGCGGGGAGGTGGGGGAGAGAAGGAACGGGAGAGGGGAAGGAGGGCCCCCCCGGTGAGGGCGCCTGGAGCGGGGCAGGGGGAAGGGGAAAGGGAAGTGGGGAGGGGGAATCTCCGTGTGGCACCTGATCTCTGAGAGGGGATGGGGGGGAGGGAACAGGGGGAAGGGGGTCCTGGAGCGCGCCGCGCGGCCGGAAAGCGCTTCCGGGATCGCCCGGCTGCGCCGCACGCTCAGTGCGGGGCGCTGAGGCCGCCGGGCGCGAGCCGGAGGGAGGAGCCCGGCCTGCGCCGACCAGGTTCCGACATGGCGCGGCCCGCGCGCGACGCCTAGCTAAGTCCTCGCGAGACTTGGCGGCGTGGGGCGTGTTGGCTTTGAACGGAGGCGGCGTTGTGGTGAGGGGTTGTGTATAGGGAGGAGGCGGTGCTGGGTCGCTGGAGATTCTTGTGTTCCTTCTTCTGCCTGTTCCCACATTGGGAGCTTTTTCTCAGCGCGCTTAATAAAGGTTCCCCGTAGTCGGTTTCAGAGAGGTGGGGGGTGGCCGCCGTGATGCTGTACAGAGGTGCTGGCGAGTGGGGAAAGTAAGGTTCGGAGGCCAAGTGAGCACCCGGGATCCGGGAGCGAGAGGCAGCGAACGGGAGTTAACACCCCTGTGGGGGCTGCCCGCTTGGCAGGAGCCACCTCCTCAGCGTGGTTGGGCGGTTATGGAAACTTCCGAGTATTATCATCTGCAGTGTGTTGTGCGGACACACTGTATTTGCCGCCTTCCAATACTGAAAAAACGGCCATGTGGAAGATGGGAGCAGACTTTATTATGGCCTGTTGCAATAGGATGAGGGGTGATGGTTTTAAACTAAAGGAGGGGAGATTCAGGCTGGACATGAGGAAGAAATTGTTATAATGAAGGTGGTAAAACACTGTCACAGGTTGCCTGCTTTTTTTGCGTTCAAATATTTAGCTGGCATCTGTCTTACATGGGTTATTTTCTCTTCTTACTTAACTGCTGTTCCTCAGAACCATAGGAACTCCATTGTGCTGAAATTAATCAGCAGTTGCAGAGACCCTGTAACCACCTTCTGTCTCTCTGGTAGAGAACAGGGAAGTGAAGGGGTGATCTTGTATTGCTGTTACAGACTCTCCATATCATCCTCTGTATGCAGAGGCCTTGGCTCCTGTGTCAGAGATTGCGTGAAGTTAATTAAGGAATTCCTGTATCCTAATCCCTATATCAGAAACAAGCCAAGCCTGACCAGCATATCTGGAGAGGCAAGATGCAAAACCAGAAGTAAACAGGATCTCAGTTCAACAGTACTGTTGTCTGAGACTGATTCTTATCCTGTGATTGCAATTAATATCAAGATGCCGAAGTGCACATTCCCCAGCAAAGCCCCATAATTTCCAAATATAAATGCATGCTTTTAGACCCAATGGATAGTTCCAATAGCTCTAGTCTCTCTTAAAATATGAGAAACAGCCCTTTGTATGGCTTTTGAGCCTTACGCACATGAGACATTCTGTGCCCTGGATTACACATACTGGCCCTGGCTTGTTCAGCCATGTTTCATATTATCCAGTTACTGTCTTAATTTATCCTAGAATTTATTGGTTCCAAATCTTTCAAATCAACATCCGAGTCGAGGCTTTCCTCTACTGTTTTTCACTGTCTCCCTGTAAACCCCCTGTACTGCAGCTCCAGATTATATTGGCTAACCAGTTCAGAATCATGTCAGTGAGCTCCATGGGTCCATTTCAGTTCAGCAGCAGCCAGTCTGTTTTTTTTTCTTTTGTTTGGAAAGGATGCTTTTCCTCTGTAATCCTCTGCAATAGACTGTAATGGAAGACTATCATCTAGCAATTGCTTCATTTGTCTGCACTCATCACACTTTCAAAGCAGAACATTGCAACAGAAATTGCAGGGACTTTGTATTTTTTGTCTGCCCTTAGCTAGTCACAGATTTGAGAGCAGGATTGTGCTTCTGGCAAATTAAGCAGTCTTGAAACTTCACAGTTAATCACAGCAGAGACAGTGCTCTGCTATAGAATTTAGGAAGAAAATCCTATGTGTATTAGGTGCCTGACAACCCCAGAAATCAAAGACTGCATGTGTTTTAACTTTGCTGAACACATATCTGAAAGGAGTTCATTTTATTGCTGATCCAGTTCTTCTGTCTTCTCTTATCCGTATGACAACTACAACAATTGATTTTATGGAAAAATAGTATTAGGAAAGTATTTCATGTATTTTTAGCTGATTCTAATGGGATTTAGCATCTGGAAACAAGGAGAGCTGGCACTGAGTAATCAGGGCAGTTCTTGGACAGCTGTGTGGGAGCCAGTGTATCAGACAGTGCTCTAAAATACCTTTTTTTTTGTGTGTGTTTTAAAAAATGCAATATATGAATTGAAAAGCTCAAAAACTAGACTTCCATACTTGCAGCTCAGACAGTAACTCAGAGTCGAGTGGAATTAACTGTTGACTCTAGTTCCGTAATGACTTCTTGATGAAAATGCCCCTGGCTTTTGTGTGATTTTTTTTATTTTCACTTTTTTAAATTTAATGCTCATGGCAGTTATTACTGTCTGTGTTTAAAAGGCCTCAGGTTGGGATTTAAATTTCATGCTACATTCATTTTAAGCAGAACAAAAATGTAGTTATTTCTGCTCCCCTTTTTTCTTTATGAACAGCAATCTAAGAGGCCCAGTTTCCTATTTTGGAAAAAAAGCAATTTTCTGCATGTTTGTTCCTAAGAATTGCAGCCAGGACAGTATCTTGATAAAACGGCCTTCTGGTAGTCTGTATGTTTTCTGTCTGAATAGATCCTATACTGAGTTAGTTCTACTTACAGATCAAAAGTGCAGTTTTATAAAATATAGGCACTGTAAACTAAGTCTTGAATCTAAAAAGTCAAACTGAGTTCTTTCTCCCTATTACACTGTGGTCAGTAATGTGTGTTTTGTCACTGAAATACACCTGTTTGATGGTGCATAGTTACAAAAAATGTAACATTTTTTGGTCTTTGTGTACTTGAAGTAGTTGATATAATTGTAATAAAGCCAGGAATGTGTGCCTCGAGTAAGGAGGTGCCATTTTTTTCTTAGCATTTTCCATGTGGAAGATGGTTTTCTCTTGGGATGACTTCTAAACAGAGTAGTCTGTAGGCCTGTGATAATACCCTGTGTTAGTGTCAAAATCCTGTGGACTGCTGTAATAGTTCACTTGTGTACAAGAAGTTGCAGACTTAAGGGTCTAAGCAGCGTTATTTAAGTGGAAGCTTATAGAACCAGAGCTCACAGTGAAGGATATTCTTTGTATAACAATTTTAATTCTGCCTGCAGAATTAAATAGAAACTTTTAGT